GAAATTTATCTCAATGGGATTTGCTGATATCAGAAGACTGTTAAGAATGGTATGTATTAAAAATTATCCTGCCTGCCCCTTAGTCTCACCTGTTCTAACACAGCTTGTAGTTCAAATTTACAGCATTAATGATTCTGCTTCCGATTGTTCTAGGATGTGACTATGAAGGTTATATCTTTCTCTCAGCAAGGGCCTCGTGCAATATGTGTTCNTTCAAATTTACAGCATTAATGATTCTGCTTCCGATTGTTCTAGGATATGACTATGAAGGTTATATCTTTCTCTCAGCTAGGGCCTCGTGCAATATGTGTTCTCTCTGCTAATGCAGAGGCTCCAACATGTGATACAAGAAAAGGAGGAATTGTTAGAAAAGCTTCAGATGAGAGTGAATGAAGCAGGAAATAAAGCTAAAGATCTTAAACTTTCATTTGAAAATTTGTGAGGTAAGCTAGTATATTATTGTCTTATTAAATTTCGAGTTTTACCAATTTTATGATATATCACTGTCTTGCTGTTGTTTTTTCATGTAGAGTCGGCAAAAACTGAATTTGATGCATTAGCAAAAGCAGAGCGCATGCTAATGATGATTGAGAAAAATCTACATGATGCAGAAGCGGTACATTTCCTTTATCCAATGCATTTGTTGATTTATTATTTCCTTTCTTTTGGCCATTTCATAATTTTTTTGAAATTGGAATATCCCACTCTTATCCAGGAAAAGAAACATTTTGAGAATGTCATGAGCAACCAAGTTCTTTCTTACCTCAATAATGCAGAGGCAGAGTATCGGGAGTTCGAACATAAGTGTAAGGTGCATCTCTTATCCTGCCCTGGAATATAAGTTAGTACTAATGTTTCATATATTTTTTATTTTTTTTGAGTTCTAACAAGGGTGACTTGTCAAAATGACTCACTTTCTTGGGTCAATAAACTACATCTGTGCTATGTAGCACATGATATACTTATGCATAGCCACGAATTATTTTGTAACCTGTACTTCGGAACCAAAAGTGTTGCATCTGTGCATATCATCTTCCAATACCTTTTCTCCCGTCTTGTACTCTTCTACAATTTGGTTTTATTACATTCTGTAAACACTTGGGTAGATGCTTCTACTTTATACTTTCATGCAGGAGTTTTTCTATTGAAAGCTTCGTCTTCTCTGTTATTTCTATTCCACATTAAATTAGTTAGTATTTCTTCTGACATTAAGCAATTATAAATAAATTTCCAGCAATACCTGATGCTAACTTCATGGTGGAATCACAGGAAAACCGCCGGAAAGCTTCAATTATCTGCCCTGAGAGCGAGATCGAAGCTTTAGGGGGCTGTAGTGAGAGCAATCCAGAGCAACTCAGTGCTCAACTAAGCAGGATGAATCAAAGACTTCAGCGTGAGAGCCAGAGGTACCAATTTGACATGTTTTGTTTTATCTTCAAAAACTTGATGAGCTTTTTATTTAAATGAGGTGTTCCCTACTGCAGATTTCCAGAATCCATCGAGGATCTCAGGATGTTGAACCAAAAAAGGAGCGTAAAATCCTAAGGAAACTGCAAAATTACCAAGACTATCGAGATAAACTAGAAGTAGCTCAATCCATCATCCTA